CAGGGTTGACTCTCTAGCAACTGGTTTCCTGGATCTACTTCTCCGGGCAGTGATTTCCTGTCCTTCCTTCCCTTTTAAGACACAAATGCCCGGTGTGTTTCGGGGTGCACAGCAGATGCGTATGAATGAGGAGTGGAGAGACTAAGTTAATGATGAGTGAATGGGTAGGTGTGCAGGAAACCCTACCGGGCAGCTTTACTCTTGTAGAGTGGCACTAGGACATAGAGCCAACTTGATGGTACAGAATTAACAGCAACAACAACATGTGTGAGTGAGCTTCTGAAATAGGATTAGTTACTCTCAGGCCATCTCAGCGGTGCGCCGAGTCTCCTCTCAGTCAGCTCCCTTCCTCCTTTGTGTGAAGCAGGTGGGAGTGGGTTGTGGCATTCCGTGTTTCAGGAGCTGATGCTGGCTATCCCACGTCTTTTCCATCTTCTCCCTCCCATTTTTCTGCCTCCCCGATCTCTTGAACGCTCTGGCATGTGGGGACAGACAGAGTGCTTCAGAGGGGTGTTGCTTCCCTCATGTGCTAAACTCAAACTCATGGCGATCAAGTTGATTCTCACTCACAGTAGAAAGCCTCATCTTTCTCCTATGGAGCAGCTGGTGTTTTCGAACTGCTGCCTTTGCAGTTAGTAGCCCAACACATAATCACTATGCCACCAGGGCTCATTCTCTCTTGTGTGATACTGCTTTTAAAGAGAAACCAACTCGAAACCCAAACCACTGCCGTCATGCAGATGCTGACTCAGAAGGACGCGATAGCCCAGAGAAGAAACGCAGGGTTGCTTAAGATGTAGATATTTCAGAAAGCAGACTGCCACCTCTTTCTCCCGACCTTTGGGTTAGCAGTCAAAGACTTAACCACTGAGCCACCAAGACTTGTTTTGAGAGAGAGAGATACTCTTTATTTCATAAGTAGTATAATGAATGTCACTGTACTCAGAGATAACCTTTAGGGAACTTTGTAGGGTGTTGCTGAGGGCCTTGGCAGGAATATATATATATATATATATATAT